GYGAMGGTGGTTCTTCGGAGGTGAAGGGYGCTGTGTGGGATAACAAGGGAGAGTGTGGGTGAAGAGAGAGACGTACCTGGTGGAGGTGGGAGGTCGGCATTGGTGTTGACATCATCACTYGCTGGTCGTCAAGTTGTCTGGTTGMTTTCATACTGTAGTTGTAGTGTTAGGCTGTAGAGTAGGTAGGGCGCCTGGCGCCATTCAAGAGAGAGAGCTACATTGGGTTATGCTGTTGGTGTTGCCTTGTTGGGCTTGGACATTGACTCACGATTCTTCTGTATCATTCTCAAATGGATGGTTACTCGGTTCCATTGTGCTATCTGCTCTTGCTTTGACTACTTGGACTTTGGTGTGATTTTGCAATCTGGATTTCTGTGCTTCGTCCATATTCATGTTCCTTGCATTTTGGTATCAGAGCTGGTTTGATTCGCTACTTACCTTGGTGCGTTGGCGTTATACAGACTTGGTGCGTTGACGATGCTTCTTCGCAGTTGTTTCTTGTGACGTCAGGCCATGTTAGGCGCACAGCCTGGGTAGAGAGGTGAGCGCCGGAAGGCTAAGACGACATTGATTGCCGTGGTGACAGGCGGAATGCATGATTGGTGATGAGAGCATGCTGATGTGGCATTCGGCTGACGTGGCACTGCATTGCATTGTGGGTGATACTAAGGCCAAGACCGGTCATCAAATGCACACTCAGCTCAATTGGTGAGAAATCTGTGGTTGGGGGCAGCTATCTCCAGGTACGTTGTTCCCTTACCTTATCTAGTCTCTCAATTTCTTCTTACCGTGAGGAAGTGAGTCCAACTTGAGAGTCCTCTCTTTTGGTGAGGTGTCGTGAGCGCGCTACCTTGAGAGACGACAATCTTCCCGAAAGCATCTGGAAGGAGAAAGGGTGGTGCCTCTGAAGGGCCCTGGTCGAAGCACTGGGTCACGGTCACCATGCCAACCCAATGGGAATAGGTCACGCATGCGATGGCTGCTGTCCATTTTGGCACTTTGCTGCCCTGATAGAAGTCCTGCCGGGTGTGCCAGCCCATAAGAGACGCTTACCAGACCGTCTATAAACATTTCTGGTTGGGGACTCAATGTTGACTCTGGTTGTGATCGTCGTCCTGTCTGCGACGTTAAATAATTCCTGCGGAGATGGGGGCTCTCCTTAAAATCCTCCTGATCAGCCAGATCACATTGGGCAGTAAGGCTCGTTCCGTACGAGGGTAAATAAGAGTGGATGGGCTGGCTTGCTCGGTAACGACTTGGGCACAGGGGTGGGCCGACGTTGCACACGAAGACACTGCTGCTCAATGATGCTGTTCGGTATGTTGGATTGAGGGGAGGGTAGGTTCTAATTGATGCTCAACTGGAAACACAACCATACCCACTATTCATACATCTGCAATAGACTGCTAACACCTCACAGACAGATTAGAGTAGGCTTGCTGTATACTACCATAGCCAGTTCTATCTAATGCTGCTGTAAGTGAACCAATCAAGATACATCTAGACTATGTTGACAGTCTTTTGAGAATGTTGTAGGCTGCCACTTGATCGGTCAAGTAGGGGACCTGCCGGACACAACTATTTTTAGAAAATTAGGTGTCGGTCAGACACATGTTGTGGTAGGACTCCACTAGGGGGTTCTAGTGCAAATAATGTTTGCCTAATTGATGAACGGGTCAGACGTCGATGAGGGAACAGTTGACGATGCAAGACTGACACGTTCGAGATCACGTAGGATCCCGCACGTGTTTCAGGCCCTACAACCGGGAGACGGAGGACGACTTCGTGCCGAACGCAGAGCCCGTGCACTAGCAGCAGCTAGGGAAACAGCGAACGCCGCAGCTAGGGTACAGGCTGCAGCAGCAGCCAGGGCAGTAGCCATGTCTTCTGCAGCAGCATCCTCGGTTGCGTCCTCGTCTGGGACCAATGGGACTCAGTATGGAATGCCCACTGGGTCCACGGGTACTTCCAGTTCAGTAGGTTCTCGACAGTCTACAAGTCAAATGGCGGGCTCGCAGTTCAGCCCGTTGACCCCACGCGAAAGGGAGCTTCGAGAGCTCCAATAGGTCGAAACGATCCGTGAACAGTTAGAGAGGGAACTGAAGCAAGCAACCGATAGAGAAAGAGAGATCAAAAATAAAACAGCCAGGCTTGAAATGTTAGAGGCAGACAAAGCTGAGTTAGAGGGTTTGGATGAGTCAGGACAGTCTGAGCCAATGAAAGTATTGAAGAACAATATGTTGTCGCTGCATGCGCACGTGGACAACCGATTGGACTTTATGCAGAACACCCTAGACCAGATCCTGGACATTTTGCAAAGGCCAGGATTTAGGTCACCAGCACAGTCCCCGTTGCCGTTAACGGCGATGTCTGGCCCCTTTCTTGTACAAGCTGGCACGCAGCCAAGTGGCACGTCTGCAGCAGTCTCACAGACTGTTGCTTCTTCTTCTTCGGGTCCAGCAGTGGGAGCTACACCACCGCAACAACCTGTTCCTCCACAGGGACAACCACAAGGTCTTTGGTACCCTAAGACCCCTATGAAACCGCCTCTTGCCTTTTCGGGCGAGAAGAAGGACGAAGACCTCACTCCTTTGGTTGAGAATAGTTCCGGTTTGGGTAAAGGCAAAGAGGACTTTGCAGGAGGAGGAGGTCATTACTGCTGCATCTTACCTCGAAGGTAAGGCAGCCAAATGGCTGGATGGTGTAGTGACAAAGGCTGGGTACGGACGACGCATGGCGGACTGGGCTAGGACAATTACGTTAGACCAATTCATGGAAATGGTAGAAGCTCGATGGCACAATCCTCAGCAGGCACAAATGGCCACTGATGCGATAAACAGACTAGACCAATGAAAGTTCAAGTCAGTCAGGGAGCTTACGACTACCATAGAGAGCCTCATCGTCGTTCCCGGTATAAACTACAACAACCAGTTCCTATTGACCACGTTTGTGAGATGTCTACCAGAGAATCTCAGAAACTTGTTGGCCAGCGAGGCTCGCCTCGAGTATCACTCCTTTGAGACGTTGTCTAGGAAAGCCTTAGATTTGGAGGCCACTCTAGGAAACACTCAACCTTCTCAGAATGACACGAGGAAGAAGAAGAGTCCGCAGGAATGGAAGAAGAAGGGGGCTAAATTGTTGATGGTTGAGTTCGATGGGACCCAAACCAAGATCGATGAGCTCACAGACCTGCTGGACATTTCAGAGTACGACGGCGAGGAGACCGCTAAGGGTAGCAACCTCGCCGCAGTAGTTAAGGCTAAGGCTGGTGGCCGAGTGAAGGGCCAACCAAAGAGTCAAGGGAAGGCCGCCTCGAATCAGACCAAAGTGGCTGATTGGGTCAAGGCAGGTCTTGATCAAGCGTGTGGCGGGACCGCCGAGTGCGTGGCGCTTGTATAAACTGTGGTGAATACGGACACACCCAGTACAAGTGCAAGAACGCAAAGGTCACGCAGAAGATACCTCCTAAGATGGGGGCATTTTCTTCCCAGGCTTCTAGCTCGGGAAACACGTGAGGCCGGTGGAAGTTTTAGCTGCTTCTACGCATGGTGAAGTGGGCCAGATACCCTCCCCACTTCATGAGATGGCCATAGGTAATGACTTTTTAGTCACCCCGCGGACTCATCCAGACCAAACTATGCTCTGTACGTTGGATGTGTCTGAAGCCTTAGAAGATCTGGAAAGCGAGTGGTCAAACAAGGACCCTCGTGAATCTTGGGTGGCACTAAAGAAAGGTCCTAGAGGGGAGCATTTCGTGGTGGAAGTGGATGCAGGAGGCCGCAAATGTGGTGCCTTCATAGACATCGAATCCACACGGAATTATATAAGTTGCGACTGTTTGGAAAGGCTGCACCTACAGGACCGGGTATGGCACCTTAGTAGACCAGTAGCATCTACTTTGGCCAACAAGGAGCGCATGGTTGTCACAGACCATATCCCGAATGTAGTCTGTACCTTCTCCTATAGAGGAGGGGAACTGAATCATAAGATTTCGTTCCTGGTTAGCGACGACTTGCCGTTTGATATGTTGTTAGGCATGTACTACCTTGAGGTTGCTAAGCCCCAGTTCGACCGGGACAAGAAGGTGCTAAAACATAAGTTGCCTGATGGCAGAACAGTCAGATTGACTAAGTTCAAAGCCAGTAGCATTATAGATACCTATGGCTGCTTATGTGCATTAGCGTTCTATAACTATTACAAACAGAACCAAGAGGAGGGTATGTACCTAGTGTATGTCTCTGAAAAAGGGGAGGCCGTTAAAACACCCCTAGAGATAGAACACGTCGTTGCTAAGTTCCCTGATCTGTTCGAAGAGCCTACAAAAGTTGTAGAAAGGGAAGTTGTCCACGCTATAGAAATCATTCCAGGGAGTAAAACCCCAAAGGGAAGRATCTATAGGATGGCTCCCGCCGAGTTAGATGAACTTCGGCGACAACTGAAAGAGCTGACAAAGAAGGGATGGATCCGGCCTAGTACTTCCCCTTACGGATCTCCAGTACTATTTGTACCAAAGAAGGGGGGTACATTGAGGATGTGCATTGATTATAGAGGCCTCAATGCCATCACAGTGAAGAACGCAGAGCCTCTACCTCGCATAGACGACCTACTGGATAGGGTGTAGGGATGCAAGTACTATAGCAAGATAAACTTGAAATCCGGCTATCATCAGATCGCTATAAGACCTGAGGATCAACACAAGACAACTTTTCAGACTCGATATGGTCTGTATGAGTTTGTAGTGATGCCCTTTGGTCTTTGCAATGCGCCGGGAACATTCCAGCACGCCATGAATCGAATCTTCCATGACCATTTAGATAAGTTTGTCGTAGTTTACCTTGACGACATTCTGATCTTTAGTAAGTCCGCCGAAGAGCATCCACAGCACGTTGAGACTGAACTTTCACTCCTGCGACAACACAAGTATAAGGTCAACCTAGAGAAGTGTGAGTTTGGTCGCACTAAGATATTATACTTGGGTCATGAAGTATCCGCGGAAGGGATTAGGCCGGAAGATGGGAAGGTGGCTAGTATTCGAGATTGGCCATGACCTCAGACTGTCACTGAGGTCAGCTCTTTCTTAGGAATGTGCGGCTACTATAGGAATTTCGTAAAGAACTATTCTACAGTCGCCTCTCCTTTGACGGATCTAACTCGACTTGACACGCCGTGGGACTGGAGTGATGAGTGCGAGGGTGCTTTCAAGCGATTGAAGCATGCACTYATGAATCATGAAGTTCTCATGGTTCCCGATCCTCATAAGCCATTTATAGTGACCACTGACGCAAGCCAATATGGCATTGGCGCAGTGTTGGCTCAACATGATGGGAAAAAGTTGAGACAGATTGAGTACATGAGTAAGAAGATGCCATCTAAGAAACTGACAAAGTCCACCTATGAAAGGGAACTCTATGCTCTCTACAAGGCACTTGTCCATTGGAGACATTTTCTGTTGGGACGATTCTTCTATTTCAGGACTGACCATCAGACACTTAAATGGATCAAGACTCAACCGGCTCTTTCTGATGCACTCAAGCGATGGAATGAGGTCATAGATCAATATGACTTCAAGCTTGAGTATCTGAAGGGAGAGTACAACAAGGTTGCCGATGCGCTATCACGTAGGGTTGACTACCTAGGGGCGCTAGTTTCTGACTTTGGTGTATCGGAAGAAGTAACTCAATCATTGGTGGGAGCCTATCAGGAAGACCCTGTCACGATGGACATCATGCGCAAACTTCAGGCAAAAGACAAGGCCATGGAAAGCGAGTTTGTGATGGTGGACGGGYTTCTCTATCTTGATAAGGCCGRAGTTAAAAGGTTAGTAGTTCCATSTAGTGAACGTTTGCGTAGTTTGTTTTTAGGAGAATGCCATGACGCAACCGGGCACTTTGGTTACAAAAAGACGAGTGTTAATCTAGTACAACGATTTTGGTGGCCTGGAATGCTAGATGACGSAAAGAAGTATGTAGAGACCTGTCAGGTCTGTCAGCGGGACAAGCCGCGAACTCAAGCACCGCTTGGGTTGCTGAAGCCCTTACCTATCCCCGCTGGTCCAGGACAGAGTGTTTCCATGGATTTCATGGACACCCTAGTGACCAGTAAGAGTGGCAAGAGGCACATTTTCGTCATCATCGATCGATTCATCAAGTACGCTAGACTAGTTGCCATGCCAGAGACCGCAAGGACCGACCATGTCGTCAAGTTGTTCAAGGACAACTGAGTGCGTGACTTTGGTTTACCAAAGACAATCGTTAGTGACAGAGATGTCCGTTTCACAAGTGAGCTGTGGAAAAAGACTGCTGAGCAGATGGGCAGTCAACTTCAGATGACTTCAGGGAATCATCCCGAAGCCAACGAACAGGCCGAGCAGATGAACATAGTTGTACAACACCTGCTGAGGCATTACATCAAGCCCAGCCAGGATGACTGGGATGAGAAGTTGCCTCTCATCGCCAGCCTGTACAACAACGTTGTACACAGCAGTACTGACGTTAGTCCTAACCAGCTGCACTTGGGATGGAAGCCTGGATCCGCTCTAGACTTCCTCCTACCTGAAAACCGATCCTCCGCAACTCCAGACACACTTGAGTATGGTGTGCACTATAAGAAGTTGCTGCAGCAAACTGTCGAGCACATCAAGAAAGCTCAGCAAGCAATGATTGCTTATGAGAACAAGCATCGACAACAGTCCTCATTTCAGGTAAGGGAACGTGTCTAGGTCAAGGCTAGTGAGCTAGGCCAGGAATTCGGGATCTTTCATAAACTAATGCCTCAGTATTTTGGTCCCTGGGAAGTCCTGGATGTAGTAGGGGATGAGATGGATGGTCCTACCTATGTTATCCGTATCCCTG